TTTAAAATCAATTCTGAACCGAACTGGAAGCCAGTGTAGTGAGGCCAGAATAGGGGTGATGTGGTCGCGCTTTTTGTGACCAGTCAGCAAACGTGCAGCAGCGTTTTGGACTAGCTGTAAGCGTTTGATTGAGGCCTGGTCCATACCCACATACAGAGCGTTACAATAGTCCAGTCTCGAGGTTACAAAGGCGTTAATAACCCTTTCTAAGTCTTTAAAAGATAAATACGACTTGGTTTTGACCAATAGTCTTATTTTAAAAAAGCAAGATTTTACTACGGTGCTGACCTGCTTGTCAAATTTAAAAATGCTGGTGAATGTCACTCCAAGGTTCATGACCGAGGGGAGGATGTTTTTTTTTATAGAGCCCAGAATAGCAACCGGAGAGGCTGGAGGTTGCGGTCCAAAAAAGATGACCTCGGTCTTGCTCTCGTTGAGGTTGAGGAAGTTTTTGCTCAGCCAGGATTTTATCTCTGCTAAGCAGTCCATCAGCTGCTGTAGTGAGTGTTTGACATTTGCTTTGAGAGGCAGATATATCTGTACATCGTCGGCGTAGCAGTGGAAGGGAATGTTATGTTTTGTGAGTATTGAACCTAGGGGCAGTATGTACAGTAGAAAAAGGATGGGGCCCAGAATCGAGCCTTGGGGAACCCCACAGGTAAGAGGGGCTTTGGCAGAGGAGAAGGCACCTAGCTGTACCGAGAAGCTACGGTCTGTCAGGTAGGACCTGAACCATGCAAGGGCAGAGCCTGTGATGCCAGCGGACTGTTCAAGCCGTGACAACAGGATGCTATGGTCCACAGTGTCAAAGGCAGCTGTCAGGTCTAACAGCACCAAGACAGCTGGGCTACCTGAGTCGGCGGCTAGGAGCAGATCATTAAAAACTCTTAAAAGGGCTGTTTCAGTGCTGTGCATTGGTTTGAAACCAGACTGGAACTTTTCATAGATTCCATGCGTGGTTAAAAAAGACTGCAGCTGGGCGTAGACTACTCGCTCCAGGGCTTTTGATAAAAAAGGTAGCTGGGAGATGGGCCTAAAATTTGCGAGAATGGAGGGGTCGAGATTTTTCTTTTTAAGGAGTGGCTTAACCACGGCATGTTTGAAGGCAGCTGGGACACATCCTGAGGTAAGAGAGGTGTTTAAAAGTAATAAAATACTTGCTCCAACTGATTCTAAAACATCTCTGAGAAGGCGAGAGGGAATGCTGTCTGAGGTGCAGTTTGTCGGCCGCAGGTGCTTGACTACATCCGAGAGAGAAGAGAGGGATACAGGGTCAAAGTGGTCGAGGACAGCAGGGCACAGAAAAGGAGCAGGATCTGGGGTAGCACTAGTGTGGGCTAGCCTAAGAGCAGATACCTTTTCAATAAAAAATGTAAGAAACTTATCACAGAGAGTAGTCGATGGTACAATAGAAGAAACATCACAGGGATTAATGATAGAGTTGAGGACATTAAAAAGAACCTGAGGTTTATGGCTGTTTTTGGAGATTAACAGAGAAATGTGCTCTGTTTTGGCTGCTTTGACTGCCGTCTGGTAGTCAGAAAGGCAAGCACGAAGGATTTCTAGGGAGACATGGAGTTTATCCTTTTTCCATTTTCTCTCTGCATGCCTGCAGGTGCGTCTGAGAACACGAGTACAGTCATTGAGCCACGGCTCTGATAGAACTTTGGTGCGTCTAAGCGTAAAAGGAGCAACAGAATCCAGTATTAGTGTACATGTCGAATCAAACATGGAGATAAGCTCATCAGCATTAAAAGCACAGTTCACATCTAATTTACAGATCGGAGAAGCATTAAAAGCATCAGAGAACTGTGAGGCAGTCAAGGGGTTAATCGAACGCAGACGACGCGCCGGGGCACGTGATTCGACTCCTGCGGAAGGGATGTAGGTTGTAAACAGAACCGGTAAATGGTCTGAGATACGCGTTGCTGCACATATTTCATCCACAGATACAGACAGTCCAAACGATAATACTAAGTCCAAAGTGTGTCCTTTTTCGTGTGTTGGGCCAGCCACGGACTGAACGAGACCAAAGGAATCAAGGAGATTTAAAAAGTCCCTAACCAGAGGTTTGGACTCGCAACACACATGGACATTGAAGTCTCCGGAAATCAAAACACGATCATATTTCACCATGATCCCGGACAGAAAGTCAGAAAAGTCATTTATGAAATCCTTATTACACTTTGGCGGACGATACACGACTGCGCAGAGTATAGGCGAGGCCGGGTTCAGTTCAAAAGCTGCAACTCAAAGCTGGCATAGCTAGATACAGGGTGAAGCAATCGGCATTGGAGGTTAGCTCTAAACACTGATGCTATGCCCCCACCATGGCCAGTGGCACGGGGGGAGCTGAAGAATGTACAGTCAGGAGGAAGAAGTTCAGAGAACGGTGTATACTCGCCAGCGTGAGCCCAGGTCTCCGTCAGGAACATAAAATCCAGTTCACGAGAGGTGAAGAAGTCGTTTAGCAGGAACGTTTTGTTTGCTATCGACCTAGCATTTAGCAAAGCCATGCAAAGTTTTCGCTCCGGGCTTGCCGAAGGTGTAGTGCGTCTCAGCTGACGAAGATGTGCGTGTTGAACGCCGCGGCCGGGAGCAGACAGTCGGGCAGGAGGAGCTGCCAGCGGGCCCCTCAGAGTCCGGAGCTCCGGAAAAACGGGGCGAATCCACCGATCCCTCACTTGGCGTGCAGCGGGAGGGCCGTGACATCCGAGGCGTGGATAATTCACAGAAGAAGGCGTCAGGTATGCCTTCAGATGGACCAGTGCACCACCACGCTTTCCCCGTCGTCGAAAGCGCTTTCGGCGAGGCAGGATGCAGTGTGACCGGCGTAGGTAAGTGGGGATATCCGACAGTAGAGGGGGGGGGGACGATTTATGGTTGCCAGATGTCGGTTTGGGCAGCAATATCAACTCCAGTGAGGGTCTGAGGTGGAGGAGAGCTTGGCGATCATAAACGAGCAGAGCAGAGACATTCTGACAAACATAAAACAAAAACAGGACAGCTAAAGTTTGGAAAGGGAAAGAGTTTGTCGGCATGTAGAGAATTTATTGTAAAGTACATTTTAAACTGATGACAAGATCATTTGACTACGATGGATAGAACGATGTGTGTAATCCCTGGAGAGCCTTGGCAATGTGTCCCACCCCGTCTGATAAAAGGGAGATTACACGGATGATTTACTACAGATTACAACAAAACGACTCCACCAGTGGTTTCACTAATAGTTCATCAGTCACACCAACAAATAGAAACTTTAATTAATCCATGAGTTCCAGGAAAACTAATTAACAAAACAACCTGTTTGGTTAACACTTTCAAGTTGTTTTACAGTCATTTACTGTATATTTTGTCCATTCATTTCCGCATAGCGGAAAATCCCTAAGCCTCTTAATCTGTTTTGTAATCCGTTTTTAATGGTGAAGTGGAATCAGAGCAGGCGTCTATATTGAAAAGGAATTTATATTTCAAATATGTTGTATAAATTACCATCAGGCAAAAGGTACAAATACCCAATTTCCTCAAATCAGATGCTAAAATGATCAGCCTTTGGTGATAATTATCATGATGGTCATAATTATCTTTTGTTTCACATCCAACGTTTTTTAGTAATCGACAGAAAGATAAAGTTCTAACCAGTTATTTCAATAGCTCTAGGTCAAATCCCTCGATGATTCCCACTCAAGCTTTCTTAGTAGTACCCACAGTTCGAAGTATTTCAACTTTACCGTGTCCTCAGCTGATCTCAGTAGTATGATTAAAGACTATAAAGGAGAATTACTTGTTGATGAGGCTGTGTGGATAATCTGGCCACAGATAGATAAAGTAAATCTGTGCGGGACAGTGTCAAATCTAAAACCCCATCCGTCCGCAAAGTTCTCCCAGGCATATGGGCCTGGCGACTTCCCGCCGCACTTTTCCACTCTGCCTTGCCAAGCTAATTCAAGAGTGACTCTCCAGCAGCGAGTCTATTTACAGGCAGAACAAGAGTGCTTCCTTAAATACACCCCCTGTTGGTCAATGAAGGGGAGGGAAAATACTTATTTTCATTAGTCCCCTTTGTAAATGAAGGGGATTTAATTCTACGAGGAAGCAACCTTTTTTCTAGCGTTGAGTCATGAAGGGTGTAGTAGGGAATGTTTACAGCAGCTGCAGCTGACACAGGAGGAAATAAAAGCCTGTCCTCCAACCTGAAGCTGACAGATTTGTCGAAGGCGAGGCGAGGTTGTAGCACTTTGGGAAAAAAAAAACAAGCTGACATCTGGAGAGCCTTAAAACCACTGACATTTAGGGCATTAGCTCTCCAGCATTAAAAAGCTAGAGACAGGGAAGACAGCTGATAGGAGAAAAACAGAAAAGGGAAAAGCGAGGAATGGGAAATCGGAAAAAAATAGAAGAGAGGAAGTGAGAGGCGGGGGTGGATCTGAACCACCAACTGCATTTGACATTCGACCACTGTTTACATGCTAATGAACTCTACACACTTACATATATGCAGTGTATATATAGTATATGTTATGTAGAAGGACTGGAGTTTTACATAAGCCTGACTGCTGGGCCTCTTTGAATCATACTTACGTCTCCCATCACCATGGCTACAACCTACTGTAGTGTGGAGGTGCGCTCTACATCTCTCCCATGCTTTCCCTGGCGAGCCGATCCCACAGTCGTGGGTTAAAGTAAAGTAATGGGTCTGAATCTTTGTCTTTCTTTGAAAAGCTCCACCTTAATGTTTATTATTAAGGGGGTGGTGCCGGAATGAGTCCTTAAATCTGAAAATTATTTGGCATTTTACCACTTCGAGTTCCCTTGTCTCCAGGTCAAAGTTTTTTTTGTATGTGTTATTGGTTAGATGCCTGAAATAAGATCTGATTACAAGCTCATACGATTTTTATCACTGTATTGGGGTCTCTACTTTATTCAGTTCATGATGACATTTTGTGCATAATAGCATGTGTCCTCACAGTGTACCTGCTTGTTGTATCACTCTCTCACAGGATCTCCTTATCCAAAGATGCCATGGAGCTTTTTGACGAAGATACAGGAGTCCTAGAGGTTCCGCTAACAGTGCTCGTAGCAGGCCAGGTTTGTAACATAAAACACACGCAGTGTATTTTACAGTTAACCTCCCTTTTTATCTGGAAACATCTTTCTTATTGTGTAAAATAAAGGGCTTGTGTCCTACTTTGTTTCTAATAGAGGCAGAGCGGCTGAAGGTTGTAACCCATTTTGCTGGTAACAAGCTAAAATTATCTCATACCCCCAAGGCCCAGTTACTCCATGGGTGCTAATAAGCCGAGCATAAAGGTTACCCCATATGGTTTCACTGAAAATGTCTCTCAAAGCTCAAAAGGGAACAGAGTGTGTGCTTTCTTCTTATTCCATGGCGTACATATTATCTGGCCATTTTTGGCATGTATTACATTTTTGTTGTGGTTACTTTTGTTAAATGTCATGCCTTTTAACATGTGGTAATGCTTACAGTGGCTTACAGAATAAATATTTTTGATTTTTAATAAACTCCTAAAAGGTGCAAGCCTATGTGGATACAAAATGTAAATTGGTAAGTCATCTATGTTACATTGTTGTCAGGAACAATTTAATTACCTGCATTGGAGATGACACTTTTTAAAAACAATGTGCAGCTGAAATGGGTTCACATTTATATTATGTATATATTTATTCTGGGTTAATTTTGGGCACTTTTTGAGAAAAACATTCTCCCGTGTCTTATTGCTGAAAAAGCTGTGATTCACATCTCTGCTCTGGCTTTTCCCCGTCATCAACAGCACCTGAGGCTGTTGTATTATTCAGCGCCATCCATCATACTAAAGTAACAGAAAAAAACACTTTTCAGAAACAAGTGCAATCATTTTTCTTGACGATGTTTCTCAACACACTGCTGAGACACAGCAGGCAGCAGATGGATGAATGTCAGCTTAATATAGGCATCTGTCCTGGTCATCAATTTAAATGATATCAACTTTATTGCCAATAAATCATGTTTGGTCCTGGCGAATGGCTCTTATTACTGTGGTAAACAGTTATTGCTATGGAGAAGAAGTCAATCAGAGTGGAATTCAGAATGGTTCATTGTTAGAAAAATAAATAAAACTGTCCAAAAATCTGAAAGTGAACTGATGTAAGCTGGGTTTTCTCCCACACACTCCCCCCCTTCCTCAACGCCTCCATTGGACTCCTTTGTTTACTTCCATAACATAATGACATCACTACATCACACTCGCGCTCCTATTGGCTAGCGCTCCAATAGGCTAAGGGCTGGGACGTCTCTAAGCGGTTGACCAATCACAACAGAGCCAGTCAGCTAACCAATCAGAGCAGACTGGGCTCTGGTTTCAGACAGAGGGTGAAAAGATGTGCAGTATAAGAAAAATAAAGAGCTTTTTGAACATTAAAGCATGTAAACGTGTCACAGTAGAGGCAAAATACAAATATGAACCTGAAAATGACCATAATGTGGCCCCTTTGCTTTTTTGCAGCTTTCCAATGGCTGTTATCTGCGCAAACTTGATAATATCTGATCTAGGCTTTATTTATTTGTTTGCACTCAGTGAGGACTAAAACATGGAGATGCTCAATCTGGAATCAGTTTATTCCTAATTAGTTTTCAATAATCACATATAATAGGTGTGTCTTAATGCGATGAACATATTACAATATACAGCTCTGAAAAAAATTAAGAGACCATTGCAAAATTATCTATGGGTATGAGTTGTGTAAATTGATTTTTTTTTGATTGTATTCCATAAACTACTGACGACATTTCTCTAACACTGGAATGGAATGGCTGCCATACATGTAGAGATTGAGATTTAAGAAAAATGTTGAGTGGTCTCAGAGCTGTATCTTTAGAACGGTCCACATCATGAATTTGTTGTTAAACGGGGCATTATTGTGCAAGAAACACTATCGGGGAGACCGTTTTCAAATCTGTGTCAAACAACATAAATTGTTTCCCTCAAGAGGCATACATCTCTTAACACATCCTTTTTTCAAAACAAACATGCATTTGGAAATATGAAAACTCAGAAGTCCTTGAAGCGTAAAATAAATATCTCCTAGCGACTGAATTCCTTCAGCTCGTCAGCAGCAGCCTTTATTCAAAAACACGGAGCAGCTGCTTAAACATTGGTGTTGCATCGATGCCAGTCCTCTTTCTCAGCTAATCTAAATCTGGTTGGTCTTCTTGCCAGATCGTCACCTTCCCCCCCATCCAGCCCGTATTCCAAGTCTTCCTGAGAGGAGAGGATTGTGGGGGGGAAGCGGAGCCAAAGACTGGGCCAGGATGCTCATGTGGAGCACCAAAGCTGTTGCCCTCCGCCCTAGACCCTGAGCCCCTGGCATTAGACCAACACACACACACACACACAAACACACACGCTGTCGTATGGTCACCAGACACCAGAACAGCCAGGACAGCAATGATGCAGAGAGCTATAAACAAGTTCATCTGTTGACATGATCCAGGAAGACGTGATCTTGAGTAAAAAAACACAGCTCTCAAGATTACTTAGTTTTCTAAAGTAGTGCTGCTCTTACATAATAAAGAATTGTTAAAGGAAAAGGATGATAATACAATATATTTTCATATTGCCAATAAATCCCATAAAAAGACCAAAACAAACCAATGATTTGATACCAACCTATATTGACAGTGCATCCATTATTGATTTATCTTCAATAATCTGTGAGACTAGCCTTATTTAGTGTCGAGGAACTATTGTACAAGCACAGAATGAGCCACAATCATGGATGTATTAAGACAACTGGGTGCAGCATTGAAAATTACTCAGTGGCTCATGGAGCCAGAAATGACCTGAATGAAGATACAAAAATGAGGGTTCAGTCAAGAATCACTTATTTATATTCGGGCTATTAAAGTGTTCTTATTGGGTAGTTTATTTACCTCCAAAAAAGTATATATAGTAAGTATCGTAGTAGCTGATTTACAGACGTCTATTTCCCAATGTAAGTCAATGGTAAAAAGTATTTTTAGGGCCCAATGACGTCACACGACTGACATGGAAGTTGAAGTACCACGGTTTGGCCACTACACAAATGTGCTTCAAAACGAACTTCCTGGGGGTCTGGGAGACTTTTACCCAGTCCCAGTGTAACAAATATTTGAGCAGTGTACAGTGACGAGGGATTTGAATCAAATCATGCGCAAATGATTGGACTGTTAAAAGTGGGTGGGCTTAGAATGTAGCACGAAATGGAGCTAAAGAGGATTGTGGCTATGTTGCCGCTAAAAGTTGTGGATGATTTATGTTTATCATTGGTTGAAATCGGTTGGTATGAGGTCACGTAAGAAGAAAAATGATTCGATTTTGTTATAAAATTACGTCAAAACTATTATCTTGGTATATATTGTTGAATAAGTGGACAATATGAATACAGATTTGATGTTAAAGAATTAAAATGTAATTTTGTGTTGCATCTTGACTTTAACAGCCACTTGGTCATCTGTAAAATGATCCCCAAAAAAGCTCATATTTCTGAAATCAGGAGGCGTATTTATTTGGATAACATGCTCGTCCCAAGTTCATGTTGTTGCAGTCTATGTTCTCGGCAATGCTTTTCTCTTCAGTCCGCAAATTAAATCATGTAATTAAGATTTAAAAAGTGATACCAGTGCAGAGCAGTTTTTCAGAACAGCCACTGGAAGCCATTTGTGTTACATAAACCCAACCATCATTACAGATATTAACATTATTATGAAATTAGAATGAAGTAAAGAGAAACTAATGCAGTGTTGTAACATGTATAAAGGAAACTGATCCTCTTTGTTGATTATTCATTGAAGAAAAATACCCCAAGATCTGTAAAGCTGCTTTATGTGTGTGCGTTCAGGTGAAGCCGGTCCCTTTCACCATGCAGGCCGTGGTGACCTTCTCAGAGCTGCTCTTTGACCGGGCCCAGGTGGACTTTGGCTTCTGCTCCGTTGACCAGTCGGTGAGGAGCAGCGTCCGCCTCACCAACACCTCCCTGCTGCCCCAGGACTTTGGCTTTTTGGGCGTTCCAGACGTACGGCACACGGCTCAAGAACTTCTCTCTTTTCAGTTTGTAGTACTGTGATAGGCTTGTTTTTAATATTACTGTATTTTGATGTACAGTCACTTGGATCCATGCCATAGGAAACTCACTAAATCTAATGTCTTCTTTTTCCACTGATTCTTGAGATAAGGGACAAAACAAGCATTCGGTCATATCTTTTCTTTTTTTTTTTAAATACTTATACACTTATTTGAAATAATATATATATAAAGGTCAAGGTTTCATTTAATCAATTAAACAATAGTTCAAAGTCCTCAAGTATGTCATATTGGGGTTTATTAATAAGAAATAAATTCATTTAATAGATTTCTTTGTGAATTCACACCATTTTGAAAAACCCAGTTTTGAAATACCTTTATTTTGTACATTAACTTTAAATATTAAGTACAAATAATCAGTGTTCTTAATTAAAAATATATATATTGCATGTAGTTCATGTGGTGTTATAATATATAAACACAATAAAGTCAACGAAGAGTAACATGTTTCTTTAAAAGAATGATAAAAAATGAAAAAACCTTCATCTGACAGTGTTGACACAACTGACTGTTAAAACCAATTAAGTATAAACCAATATTTTGCTAAGAACTGATTGAGAATCCAACTGATTACTTCATGATGTCAGGTGCTTAGGAGACTCATATTTAGTTATTCAATAAATATCTATTCACTGTTGGAAATTCATCTTTACTCTTGCTTTCACAGCTCTCCTATTCATTTATTTTTTAGATTTGCTCTTTTTGTTCAATCCTTAAAGTTGCAATCCTTTAGATTTCAGTCCTGGTTGATTTGGCAACCTCTGTGGTTACCGTGGAAACAGCTAATGCAGTTCAGCACTACAGCAAACGCTCGTCGAGGAGCTGCTTTGGTAGAAATAAAACAGTTGGATATTTTGAATGTGAAGCAGCAGCACTATGAGCTATAATAACCTAGTACAGATCTGATCATTTAAAAGAGTGGATAGTAAACAGTATTAATGAGATTCAATCAACTTGATTACCTGGGAATGGTGTACTCAGACATTACCAAAAGAAAAACACTACAATCCTTAAACTGCCGACCCAATTTTAGAATGTTAATTTTCCAGTTTTTTCCTAGACTTCTGCTTTTATTGCGTGTGTTAATGGCACTAACCTAATAAGGGGTGCAATAAAAATAGCTGCCAGTTGTTGCCTTTAATTTGATCCGGCTTTATCTGGCTCTGGCAGTTATTACGGCTCTATGTTATAGTATATAAACTGCCCAGATATGTGCTAAAGTGTAGGCAGAAGAAGTAGATGTAAAGCCACACATGGACACATTCCCACTTCCAATGCAAACAGGAACTTAAAAGACAAAATGAGTCGATATATTTGATCTATTCAATGCAAACAGTCAATAGAGAGATAACTACTGAATGTAATTACATTGAAAGGATCCCAAAATAGAGGGTTTGATTTACTCAGAAAACGTAAAGGTCATGACAGTAATTCTGTAGTTTGCTCTTCCTTGCACTGCAGTTCATGGAGGTCCAGCCGAACGATGGCTTCGGCACTCTGCTCCCTCAAGAGACTCTGGAAGTTGATCTGATCTTCAGCGCCAACAAGGCCAAGGAGTACAGCTTCCAGCTCCACTGCAAATCAGGAATAAACAGGTTACCTTTCAATCTAACACTGTGTTAGCACCACTGTGTATTGTTTTGTGCATGTTATGTATTGTAGTTCAATGTGAAGAGTTTTACTTTAACTTCTTATGTTTATACAAATATTTGTTATTGTATTTATTTTTATTTTATATTTTATTGTACATTTTATTATAACTTCTTATGTTTTTAGAAATATATTAATTTAATTTTCAGTTTTATTGCACATTTTTTTATTTAGCTTTTGTTTGTGTTAATATTTTATTCTATTTTATTACATATTTTATTACATATTTTACTTTAACTTCTTATATGAATATAATCATTTTTATATTAAAAAAACCGTGTTTATCTTTGGTTTATTTGATTTGTTATGGTAAATCAAGTATTCTGATTGATTTGATATCATAGATGGATCTGATGATTTATAGACCAATGGCATCAGTTGATGGATATGATTCAGTTCAGCTTATCCAATATTTATTGATCTATATCTCTTATTGTCTTTATCACCAGAGATTTCCCCCTGTCTTGCCGGGCAGTGGGGGTCCGCCCTCCGTTGCAGCTCTCCCACTCTCTGGTGCAGTTTGGGGCCACAGCAGTAGGGGACCGCTCCACTGCCGTGCTCTACCTGACCAACCATCAAGCCAACCATCAAACCACCAATCACCAGAACCAACAACCAGCCCCTCCGTTAACCAAGGACACCATGGCTCCCCCCAGACTGTTCTCCTTCAGCCTGCCCCAGCCTTCAGACCTCAGCATCACCCCCACCGCGGGCCGCCTGCTGCCTGGAGAGGTGGAGTAACACACCTCTATTGTTTACCTCGATATTAAAGGGGCGCATCACCAATTTTAAACACAATCAAAATACTTGATTTATGCCGGGGGAAATTGGGTTTCATTGAAATTGGCAATTTTAGAATAAAACAAATAAAAGATTACAATAATAAAATAAAAAATAATACATAAATGATATAGATGGAATTTGCAATAAAAAGTTAAAATAAAATAAATGTATTGACATAAGCATACGAAGTTAAAGTGAAATGTCCAATACAAAATAAGTACAAATAAAGATATTTATAAAAACATAAGAAGTTATAGTAAAATCTCCAATACAAAATAGTTTTAAATATTTATATTTGATAAATAATTGTTAAATTGCAAGTCTTTAAACATGTCTTGTGATTCCTCGGAGTTCATGGAAGAGCAATACTACATTTCTGGAATGCCTCTTTAATATGGACTGTGAGAACTTCTATAAACTATCGTGTTTTTAGCACTTTTGGGGACAGCTGAAGAATATTTTAGCACTAATATTAATTTTCCCCCATCCTGTCCCTGTTGATCTCCAAAGGTTGTGTTTTTCATTTAATCGTTAGCTTCCAAAATATAAATGTACCTTTGTTGCAAAACCACAATCAAACTGTTGGCTACATAAGATCAGATCAAAATGGAGTTGAGCTTTTGAATGTGATGTCTAATTTTACTATGTAAAGACACCAAACCTGGGACTAGCAAAAACATTTCATAATCTACAGGATATTAGAGGAATGTTTCCAGTTTGACTTCAACAGAACTACAGTGATACAAACTGCCATTACAGCTGCCATTGGCTCACAGATTCCTATATAGTGTGATGATGCACTCTACTGGACGTCTGACGGAAGTGAACATGTGGTTTTTAATTGTGCTACAATATCAATGACTTTCCTGGACAAAGAGTCATTTCAGTATAGGCGTTTTGGAAAAATAAAGAATATTTTTTTACAATGACCATAAAATGTAAACTATACTTTAATGTTTCATTTTGAGCTCTTTGCTTGAGGCTCTTTAAAGAGTTTGGTGTCAGCCCTTGTCAACAATGTGGAGGAGAGGTGTTGGAAGTAACTGAGCAAATCTACACAGCTGCTGTTTAAGAGGCCTCTTGTGCTTTTTGGGGCAGTCCCTTTCCTGTAGTGTGTTATATAGGTTTGTGTGCATGTAAATGGTCTGCAAAGGCTAAAATCCCAAACTCCCCCCCCCCCTCCCCCCTGCCTGATACGCCTCCCTTGAACTCCTTTGTTTACTTCAGCAGTAGTAGGAAGAGCAGACAGAGCTCTGGTGCTCTGGTTTCAGACAGAGGGTGAAAAGAGGTGCAGAAGCAGTATGAGAAAAATAAAGAGGTTTTTGAACATTAAAGCATGGAGACACGTCACAGTAGAGGCACAACATACAAATATGAACCTGAAAATTAGCATGACATGGCTCCTTTAAGATTTCAGTTTATTGTTTTTGGGTTGCGACAGTTCAAAAGTTTCCATCACTAGAGTGGTGGAAATAATTGCATTCTATTTTGTTTTTTTCAACCCAATAACAGTGGCCCAGTGGGAGAAATCCAGTACATAGTCTGCAATTGGAAAACAGGGATTATCTTCCTCGTTTCACGCTAGAGAAATCCCACAACAGGAGACTCCCCAAAACTCATTTAAACCTCAATTGAGTTATAAGAAGAACAGGCTTAAAATACAAATCCTCAGTGAGGAAGAAAACTGGTCAAGAAGCTTTATATTCTAAATGTGAGAAACTCTTGTCATATCACCATCTCTCCTCTCGTAGAGATGCCTGATCCAGGTGACGTTCAGACCCAGACTGTTAGACGAGGACATCAGAGAGGAGGCGCTGCGTCTCCTCCTCCGAGCCAAGCTGCTGCGTGAGAAGGAGCTGGAGAGGAGCAGACATGCTGAACAGGAGGTACACACACACACACACACACACACACACACACACACACACACACACACACACACACACACACACACACACACACACCTACCTGCTCCAGTCACCTCCTGCTGGTGTGGGGTCAGGGGCTTTACATGTGAGCACTTCTCACCCAGTTTACTCAATTTTTCACTTTCCTGAACAAGCTGGTGTTTACACAGAATGTAGAAGCTAACCTCAGTATGAACCCGTCAGCTACTGTGTGTTTGTGTGTTTGAAGGCTAAAAAGGATCTCCCAGTGGAGACCAGTAAAGGGAAGAAGGCCCCAGTGATTCCAAAGAACAGTAAGGTGTCAGACGCTCCTCAGACCGAACTACTAACTGAATCACCAGAACCTGCCGACATACAGCCTGGGTAGGAGGGTTTTTTTATTTCTACAAAGACATGTTTTGATTCCCTTGATGTCATCAATCTTGCTTGCTTACTATCACAAATGCACGGTGGCTGACAAGGGCAAAGGTGATAGGACCGGAGTGCTTGTTGACGTTCGGGGATTATAAAGTTGGCCAACTGTCGTGTCACTGGAAGCCTACCTTAAATGTACCTTTAATGGGCTTGTTTCAATATTATGATTGCATGATTCCTTTCCATTTGTATAACAGTTTTTCTGTAAGCTAGCTAACAAAACATTTACAATCATAAAACGTGTACTACAAACGTGTGCCAACATTGACCGTGATTGTTGACCAATTTAATAATCCCCAAATGTCAAAAAGTGCTCTAGTCCCAGTCCCATCACTTTTGAGGGTCCCCGTTTGTGTTGTGTTTTGAGCTTCTTGCAGCATTTTCTATTTGCAGTATTTAGTGTTTGCAGCGTTTCTTTTATGCAGCGCTTTTAGTAAACGCTGTGCATGTTTTGTGAAGATGTTTCTTCTATATTTGTATGTGATTTGCCACATTTGTGTTTAGATATTTACATCGTTTTTGAAAGTACAGCGCGTTTACCCTAATGTAAGTGTTTTGGACCGCTGTAGCGCATTTGCACGGGTCGCTGACTGTACAATTTACTTTGAAAAACCCCGTTTTTTGGACAGAAAGGCCAGCAAAGCAAATATTCATAAATAAATATTCATGAATCAAATTTCAAAGAGTAGTACTGCCAAAAGAGAATACATTGTTATCCGGGATACATCTCCTTGAAAGCTTCTTTGTAGGGAAGAAGGCTGAACCCAATTCACAACAAAACTGAAACACAAAGCGTTCCCTGTTCTTCCACCGCTTTCATCAGTATTCCCATTTATTTTGATTCGCAGTGATCACACCATATAGAGTATTATCTCAACAGAACTGGCAGACTTTGATGAAATAAAGAGTTGTTTCCTCCCAGGTCAGAGCATTTTGAGGAGGCCAGGGCGTCTCTGCTGTACTCCTTCACCCAGCGCTACAGCGAGCACACCGTCTCCTGCTTCGTGTCGGACGGAGATCCTCCGGAGGAAGATCTGCAGGCCCAGCCGGCGTGGAGGTAATGCTGAGTCAGCTTCTACAGAGCTGTGTACACACTGTGGACCCTGTCATGTCACAATGTAGACGTGTTGTGGGCAAACATTTCGTTTCGCAATATCTTATATCTGTTTCCATCGAGTGCCGGGTGATTTTCATTCAGTACAGATCAGTTTTGATCCTAAAACCTAAATGGGAGACCTCCATTTGAATCCACAAACTCCTTTTCTCTACCTGCACTACCATTTTGTTGCCTTAGATTTTGATTCATGCAGTTGTTAGTTTTAATTTCTCTAACTACAAACTACATGTATTAACATTCTAAGAGACCATTTTAACCAAATAAAGGCAGGAGAGTTATGTTACCTAACTTGCTATCTCTAACTGTCCAAGTCAAGAGAGAAAAAACATGTATATCAGTATTCGTGGTAAAATGTTTTTAGCATGAGCTCACTTTACTTGAGTATTTCCATTTTATACTACTTTGTACTTTTACTCCGCTACAATTCAGAGGTAAATGGTTTACTTTTACTCCACTACATTTACTTAATACCTTTAGTATTAGTTGCTTTACAGATTTGGATTAATAATGTAAAATATAATCAAGTGTTAAATCAGACTTTAGTTCCACCTGGAGTAAATCCACAAGCTACCCTGCAGTATACACAGTCATTCAAACTAGCTGCACCTTTACCAGCTTTGAGAACATCAATCATTATAAAACACATCATATATATTATTCTGAAATGGACCAATCTGCACAATGACTACTTTAAGTATATTTAGAGGGCAATACTTTTTACTTGAGTAACATTTTGATTGCAGGACTTTTACTTGTAACAGAGTATTCCTATACTCTGGTACTTCTACTTTTACTCAAGTACAAGATCTGAGTACTTCCCCCACCTCTGCTAATATCTCCCCAGCTCCTTCAACACGCTGTACCTGCAGCTGCAGTGTCCGGCTGTACAGCCCCCTCTGGTGGTCACATCCAACAACGGACATAAGAGCATAGACTTCCATCAGGTGGCAGTGGGTGAGTGATTTAAAGTGTTCACACGTGCATTTACCATACAGACATTTTATTTTTCTCATCCTTATCCTTGTGTTTTGTTTGTGTCTTCTGTCCTCAGGAGAAAAAGTGATCAAGAGGTTTACAGTCCAGAACATTTCAAAGGAATCTTTGGATGTATCCTGATCAAACTAAACGTTTAACACATTACTACAGAAGGAGGAGTCATGTTTTAAAGGGCTAATGCAAAGAGTGTTACAAAATCCCACTTGATATGTGCTGCAGCGGAAAACCGAATAAAACAAAAAAAACGAACTCTGAATTGAAACTGCTGCTGAGGCATTGTCCTATGTCCAGCCAAGAATGTCCTTTGTGCATTTCATTTCAATGATCCAAAAGTCAAATGACAACTGTTTACCTATCTTGCCCTGCTGCCTTTCCTTTGCTTTCCCTGCCAACAAAAGAACCTATGCCCTTTCTGGGGCTGTCTCTAATAAATACAAAATGCTCAAAGCTGCCTTCAAAATAAAAGCACAAACAACTACTTGAATTGACTTAGAAAATGACACTAAATAAAGGTAAGAATCCTAAATAGTTTTACTTGTTTTAAATATTCTATAGATAAGGCATCTCTTTGTATGTCCTGACTTAATAGTCGAATGAAGCTGCTATTTCTTAACCCGAAACTGGCCCTATACCACTTTTATTAAAGGAGATGCTCTACACATTATGATATAAATAATATGAACTGTTTGCCACTGTTTTCTTTGACTGTTTCCAAGCTGAGGTCGTCAGTGCTGGATGTCCACGGTCCTTTTTCCCTCCTGAATGCTCTCAGATGCATCAGACCTGGGGAAACACACACTCTGGTGCTGGCCTTCAGTCCATCTCTGGAGAAAAAGGTCTGTTAACTGTGTAGAATTCTTTTTTCTTTTGTAAACGTTATTTATATAGCTCCCTTTATACCGGACGTATAGTTCAAAATGCTTTACAATAAAGTGAATCAAGCAAAATAAATAAAAACGGTGTAATAAAACCAAGCAAAAAGAACATGTTAAAAATAGAAATGAAACAAATGACGTAAAAGAACATCAAAAAAATAAATAATAATAAATACAAAGGAAGAATGAAAGTTAAAGCAATGATAAATAAAAGTTTTACAATTGTAGTTGAAAATGTTAAAAAATATTTTGTTGGTAGTTTGTTTCTTTTAAATCTAGCAGCAGAGGATCTAAGCTTCAGTAATGATTATGAAACAACAACGATTTAGCAATGAGGGCTTGTTTTAGCAGCAAAAACTCCCGATGAGTTATGCCGCTGAGAGGCTGAAACTTGCTCTTCGCTGTGACTAGTTCTATACAAAAGTCCGTAGTCAGTTACAGTTCATGGTGTTTAATAAAGACACAGAACAAACAATATCCAAATCCGGAACCACACGGTCAACAGAAAGTGTCGGAGCGATTCACCCTCTCCTCTTCGTCATACACATAACCGGCTTCCCACAGGTGACCTAAATACAAATCAACCACACCCATGTGACAATTGCCGGAAGTGATAACCAATAAGAATGAAAAGTGGTGTAAACAGAAATGAAGATGATAATAAGAATAATAAGCAATGGCAAAGCAAGCATGTTGGCTCCTACCCCTGTCCTAAACTATTAAGAGCCTTTAAAACCAATGAAAAAAACTTGAAAATGAATCCTAAAAGAAGAAGGGAGCCAAAATAGGTTAGCTTATACTGGTTTGATATGCTCTCCATTGACCATGGATTTGAATTGACCACAGACGACTGGCTGTTTCCTCAAACTTTTCCCACAGTACTTGTTTTTCCTCATTAGTTTTAGCTGTTGTAATGTTCCATTTTCCAAAGTTATTTAACAACCTTCTACTGTTCTGCAGTTCTGTGAGACTCTGGAGGTGCGTTGCCAGAAGATGACCCTTGAGATGACTCTTCGTGGGGAGGGGGTGCTCCCCGCTGTCACCTGCTCTCACCCTGGAGGTCTCCTGGACCTTGGCTATGTGCTGGAGAAGGAGAGCACCTCGCACGTCCTGAAGGTCAGTCAACACAGTGCTGACGGCAAGATTCTTTTTGTATCAGTAGTTACAGAGAGTTGTTATCGCCCGATTCTTAAGCCTCTGTTTGAAGGAATAGGCAGTGTCGTCGTCCACTGACCCAGGCCAACAAACATGTCATGGTAAAATGTTTTGTTCACACATTCAGAAATGTTCTACTTTTTGGCACATTTTTGTCAAATATTAAGTTTATCCACTCACCAAACTAATTTAAAAACCCACTGACTTCAACATAAGGCAACAGGAAGTGCTCCAGTGCTGACTCATCCAGGGTATTAGCACACATCCAGCTAACAAAAGCTCAGCGTTTTTCTCCCTTTAACATTTTGGGGCTAATCAGTTGGCAAAAAAGCACAATGGCCGCCAGGTAGAGAAGTTTCAGGTGGTGCTGATACTTACAAACACATCTATAATTGACAAAGTATATATATTATATAAAAAGTAAAATAGAGTATGTTTTTTTCTGAACATTTTGTGTATGTCTTTACACACTGTGGACATATTTATGTTTAAAAGCCATGAAAAAGTGAATTTCTTCATAATATCGGACCTTTAAAACATTGAACTCCATAACTGGATTCAGCTGCACTGATTACCCTGATGCTTTTGAGCAGACATGTCTTTAACTGACTTTAATTCCTGTTTTTCGTGCAGATGCAGAACAGCTCGGCGGTGGCAGTGGGCTTCAGGGTGCAGCTGGCCAGCCTCTGCCCCTCCAGGCCTCCGGGGGGAGCTGATGGTGTAGCCTCACTGCTGGGGGGGTTACTCAGGCTCTCAGCTCCAGCCTACTGTGGGTAAGTTATATTAACGCTGCACCAATCAACAGGTGACCTGAGACCAGATGCCTATTTGTCATCCTCAGATCATTCTAAATCCACTATAGGTTGGGCTGTCATTCATTTTCAGGACGCTTTACCAGAAAATACTTCCTAAATATAATATGGGAAATTGCAGTGGCAGATCAGTGTTAAGTCTAATTTTAATAGTTTTTTTAAAGACCCAGAAAGATCTTATAATGGTTCAACCCTAAAATATATACATGTTATTGGCTCCCCTTAACCGACCAGGACTCAAACATCTGGCTTCCCCTCCAGCAAAATGTGTTTTCTGCCAGAAATAGAAAATAAAATAAGAGTTCTCATTTGATATCTCAATTACAATGTTTGTTTTAATTTATTTGAAAAGCAGCACTTGAAACCAGGGTTGCAATAAATACTCAGATCCTTTAACTAAGTAAAAGTAGAAACATTATGGTATTAAAATACTCAAGATTATAAATAAAGTCCTGAATTATCCAAAAAGTACATAGTATTTTTATAGAATATTATTATTTTGTTTTTAACACTAAACAAATACATGTCTTATTATTATTATTATAATGTCATACTTTGTTTGTTACTTTTTAAAATACTGTTTATAATAACAAATGACAGTACTACATCACTTCTGTTATATCCTGAGCAGGAACTCAGAACCTCAGCGGGCTGAGTGTGTTCAACGTTCTGCCAGCAGAGGGCAGCATCGCTCCAGGACAGAGTCAGGACCTCACGGTCAGCTTCCAGCCGGACCACCCATCTGTCTGCTACTCTGACAGGATGACCGTAGAGCTCAGGAATAAGGTGAGCAGAACACCACACATAAAGACTCCCACCCACAGGACTAACAACTTGACTCTACGCACTTGAATATCAGTGTTCAGTTTTTATTCTCCAACATACTACCAAAATATGTGATTATTCTGTTTTCCCTCTCTCTTGTCTTGTAATGACTGTCATTTTCTAATGTGTTTCTTTTGCACGCTGTGTAAATACTTTAAATAGTTTTGTAGTTGAAATGTGCTATATAGAAAACGTGCCTTACCTTTAAAAGTATGCCATGGTTCGGGCAAAATTATTATTATACGCTGACTTATGACTCTATAATCACTTTATGACATAATACAACCTGACCTTGTATCCTTTCTGTCTCTCAGAGTGTAGTGTGTGTGTTGGATCTGAGGGCGGCAGCCTCTTCACACAACATGTATCTGTGTGGAGGAGACCCTCTGACGGTGCCCATCGAATCCCTCCTCCCTCCACTGATCACCGCTCAACCTCAAATCACAGGTATCCTCCACCTTCTGTTAGAAATTGAAAATTATCCATGCAAAAATGGTCTTACTTAAAATATGTTCTCAAAGATACTGAAGGCAGCGAAAATACAGTCACAGAAACTATAAATATGACTAAGAGTATGTGTTGTAGTCATTTAAGCTAATCATAAGGAGCTGAGAGAACATGTGCTTGTCAACAGCATCCAGATAACATCTCACCACAGAATCCATGTGTGAAAATAGGCACACTTCCTGGATTAGGTCACCGGAAATCCCAAACTAAAACTGTAAATCCAAGTGCTGTTGGTGCATTAAGACAGCATCTGTATTTGGAAGAGAGCTTGTGCTTTGCTAGAATTCGTACTGTAATTTTTGTGCAGTGATTTTTATGTCACATAATATTTCTCTAGAAGTAAAGTCTAATTTGTTTCCGCATTGGCATTGCTGCAAGTGACCAAATTAGGAAGATTTTGTCATCTGCTATGTCTGCAACATTTGTCCACACTGGCCGAATGTGCCATGTGTGCACACAGCTGTGTACAAAGAAATGTGTGCATCCACACTGCACACATTTCTAGACTATATCTTCCCTTTTATTGTTTTCTAAAAACAAATTATTGACATTCAGTATCAAACACAACATTATAAAATTAATTTCAAATACCATAAGCATACATCATCCATTTATGTTTGTCTGAATCGCCTGAACACGCAGAGTGCGTAGGGCCTCATCTTGCGCAGGGGGCCTCATCTTATGCGCCACAGTTTCCCCGTAGCGAGGCTCTGGCGCTAACAGTTCACGAGCGGGCTCTAGCCCCCCTAAGAATAGCATGCTAGTATACGGATAATAGTAACATGCTGATGCCATATATAATGTAAGGTCAACCAACTTAGTTCACGGTGTTAGCATGCTAACATTTATCTTTTAGCAATCAACACAAAGTGCATCTGAGGCTGATGGGAAGGTCATTCATTTTGCAGCTATTTAAAACAAAGTATTGGACACTTTTGACTTCAAAATTGCACTATTTGAAAAGTCAGGGGCTCCCCAAGTCATCCTCAGGGGACCTTGAATATTGGTACAAAGTTGGATTCATTTCCACCCCATAGTGGTTAAGGTATTTTAGTCCAACCAAAATGTTGTTTTTTGCCACTGGTCTGGTGAAAGTACGTATTATTGGTTGTAAATAGGCCTAACTGTCCTGTGGTCGTCTGTTTGGAGCAGAGTCAGAGGTGATGGAGAAGCCCACCATCCCTGTGCTGGTGACCCTGAGGGCCGGCTACAGCGGGGGGGCTATCACCCCCGCAGTGAGGGAGCTGCAGGTGGGCTCCATCCGCTCCACACAGCCCAGCAAGAAGGTACTGATGCTGCTAAATGCTGCATCATGTGTACTGCAGTGCATCATAAGGGAGTTCATAAAACATCATAACACTCGATCGAAATAACCTGCACTGTATGTACGACGACTCGCAAAATAATGTAAAAGTGGGACTCATACTTCCAAATGACGAGAATTTATATATTGAATAATCCCATAACTATAGATATCTGAATATATGTAGAACTTTAACTTAAACTGTCACTTTTCTTTTACATATTTTTCCTACACTTTTATTCTCACATTTCTTTATTTCATCTATTATTATTATCCTTGTATGAGTTCATATCTGTCCTATGTTTACCCTTGTTGCTGCTATGACTATCTTATCTTAATAAGATTAAGGTTTCTCTTAGGATCATCATTCAAACTAAAATATTATTATGATACTGTAAGTTAATACGTGGATTGGTGGAGAGAAATGTGTGTGTGTGTGTGTGTGTGTGTGTGTGTGTGTGTGTGTGTGTGTGTGTGTGTGTGTGTGTGTGTGTGTGTGTGTGTGTGTGTGTGTGTGTGTGTGTGTGTGTGTGTGTGTGTGTGTGTGTGTGTGTGTGTGTGTGTGTGTGTGTGTGTGTGTGTGTGTGTGTGTGTGTGTGTGTGTGTGTGTGTGTGTGTGTGTGTGTGTGTGTGTGTGTGTGTGTGTGTGTGTGTGTGTGTGTGTGTGTGTGTGTGTGTGTGTGTGTGTGTGTGTGTGTGTGTGTGTGTGTGATGACTCACTCTTCTCTGTTTTCCCCCAGAGTGGTGAGTTTCACTGGGAGAACGTGGCGTCTCTGCAGCAGCAAGGCTTCACTGTGGAGCCCAGCAAAGGCACCGTGGAGACGGGCCACAAACGCACCGTCACCATCACATGGAGTCCCCACAGTGGATACAAGGTGAGGACAGTATCACCACTTTTATAGAGGAGAAACCAACTTTTACAGAGGAGGGTGCAGGTTAAAATGTTAGCATGAATCAGAATTCATTTAAAGTGGACCTATCATGCTATATTTGAATAATATAGTATAGGACCATACCTATATAAGGCATATTTATACTTTTTTTTTTTCAAAATACCAAACAGATCATGCTAATTTTGCTCAATTTGACATTTTTTAGCTCTGTTTTTGCAAGGGCAGATTCTGTGAGAACAGCACCATCTACAGGCCTGGCATATGTACTACAGCGTCTCCAGCGCTTTCGAACGGCAATGGCCCCTTTTTTAGAGATTTGGGTATGGAGGAAAATAGAGAGGGTTGTGTTTTCTGTCACTTCCCGGAACACCGGGGACACATATTCATGTATAAAAGACGTACAAAAGTGCATTTTGCATGATAGGTCCCCTTTAAAGATGTGTCTTAAAGGTTTTTCTCTTACAAGTCTTGATTTTACAGCAAATGCAAAATCTCCTATTATTCAGTTTACTTTAAAGGTCACCTATCATGCTATTTTTAGGCAATAGCATAGGTCTCAGATATATAAAAAAAAACATATAAAAAACATGTCTATGAAGTGTTTTGCTCAAAATACCAAACAGATCACCCATTCTAGCCATGCCTCATATCCCTCTATTTCACTTCCTGTTTCAAAAGTGCTGATTTGGGGTATAAAGCTTTAAAAAAAAAAAAATTGATAACAAATAAAAAAGGAGGGGGCTGAGCTCATGCGGGGACCCGGCAGCCACTGTCTAAACTAAATACTGCCGTGATGAAACGCCATATCATGGATTATCAAGGATTATTTCTGAAACAGTATGGAGCTCAAAGGCTTTCTCTCTTGCCGGTTATACCACAAGGTCAGTTCCTTTTTATATCCAGCTTCTTCACACACATGCTCTCCAGTACAGGTTAGCTCTGAGTGTTAGCGATGCTAATGTAAACACCGACCATATTACGTCCAAAACAGTCGGGCATTGTTTCTGATAGCAAGGTTTCTGATAGTGCTGTGGGTCTGCATTGCCGATATGACGTCATATCGGACGCACATCTGGATCAGCTCCGTTGTACCCCCGTTTTTAGAGATTTGGGTATGGAGGAAAAGAGAGAGGGTTTTATTTTCTCACGCTGCGTGAGTTCCCTGACACACCGGGGACACATATTTATGTATAAAAGACGTAAAAAAGTGCATTTTGGATGATAGGTCCCCTTTAAGTTACTGAGTGCCAAAAAGTACATAACAAGAAAAGCTCCAATTTATAGTAACCTGGGTAAGAGAGTCACTGTCCATGTCAGAGTTTCATTATTCTAGGGCTGTTTTACAAATTTGACTTGCAGATCCTTTCTTAAATGTTTGGTAACCATGGTAATTAGGGTAAGGACCTGAGGAGAAAAGTCATAGCAGATGCAAACTTTATGAACACTTGTTGTCTTGTTTTGCTCAGTTTTTTTGTATATGTCGAGGTACAGTATTTTTCAGTATGTTTCAATATTGACAACAACAGTTACGAGGTTGTTTAGCTCTGCAACATTTAAAAAAAAGTTGTCGGTTGCTAGGTAACATATCAAAGTTAGAAAGGAAGTTCCTGAATGTGTTTCAAATCTGTTTCAGCTTATCTGAGCTATTTGCACTCTTAAAAGGAATACTATTATTATCCCCGTGGGGAAATTACGTTTTGTAACAGTTACGCCATTTAAAAAAAAAAGGGAAATAAAATAAATAAATAATAAGATAAAAATAAGTTTAAAAAAATAGGTAAACTGCCAGTCAAAGATACAATGAAATACAATAAAATTATTTGTTTATAAAGATGCAAAGTTAAAGTAAAAATGTATATATACAGCGGTGTGTTAGCATCAATAAGAAATGAATGCTGAATTACACAGTATGGAAGGGTTTTATATCCTGGTGGAAACACTGAACAAACGTTTTTAAATAGAAATAGTTCTATTGACTTGTTTAATCAGCTTTTATAGCAACACTTCCATCTAACCTCCTGCGCGTTTGTGTACATTTGTGTGTCTGTGTGTGTGTGTGTGTTTCAGCCCTACGAGGTGGTGCAGACATGTGTGCCTCTTACCTTGAAGGGGGACGAGACCAATGTTTACAGAGTCACCCTGATGGCCACGCTCTCCTCCGCTGCTGACTGACCTCTAAAGTACCTGGAGGCTGGCCAGAGTTAAATCTACACATACACACTGACACAACACACACACATTTGATATACCATACATTTATGTTGCCAACATTAAGAAATGAGTAGATTATTTATTAAGAAATATTAAACTAAGTTTTGTTCACAAATCTGACTCGCTCTGAATTGATTTATAGAGCTTGAAGCAAATGACTGCAATATGTAATCCCACCACCAGGGGGGGGCGCTACATCACCACCACCTCGGCAGCTGTGTTATATCATGGTTCAGGGCGTGTCAGCTGATGTAAACCAGCAGATGTATACAGTACATACTGTAGCACTGCTGGTACTAGAGCCATCAAATTCAGCAGGCAGAGTTCACACTTGAGGCCAAACAAGGCGCAGTCTGTCAAATATGACCCAGAATGATATAGATAATTAATATAAAACAGTCATTTTGTATAAAGACCATGTGTAAAACTACATCCTATTTCTCAGCTATGAACAAATGTATTGGTAATAATAGCAGGAGTTGGAGCTGTAAGCTTAAATGCTTTGTGAATAACAACAATAACAGTCTTTATCATGTATATTCCAACCAATTAGCATGTTATTATAATTCATCAATCACAACTACGAATTAGATCATTTCATGCTACAAATAATTAAATTAAATATTTGCATTTGGCCCCAGAATCTTACACGGTGAAATCACGGTGTTTAACTAACACCCCCCTTATTTTTCATCTTATGCACAAAACCTATTAGTTGATGACAGAATGAAAATCAAACTATATTTCCCCTGAATCCCTTCAGTCCGTCACTCCCATCCTGAGGCTTGTGTACCGGGCCCAGTACTGCACTAGATCGCTGCACTAACCCGTACTGTCCACTAGGAACTCCTTGACGTCCCCACTGGCCCCTCCAGCCGTTTTGGAATTCCAGGAATGTTATGGCATTGGAAGTGTTGTAGTGTAGGCCTATTTGAAATACTGTAAGTAAGTTAGGGCCGGATTACTTGCCACTCTGGGCATAGTCCACAATTATTAGAGTGGTTTATGAACAGGTGTCTACACTAGAACTGAAGAATAACTAGGAGCACAAAAGAGGTACAAATATCTGCACACTACTCGTTGATCATTCTTATTATATTCTAAGTGCACACTATGTTTTAACTATTGAATACATAGACAACACTTAACCCTTAAATGGGCAAGCACATATAAATATTTCGTATTGCTATTTTATTTCACCCATAATACTCCATTATTACACCCAAACTACACCCATATCACACTGTTATTGAACCCCAAAACACTTATATTACAACATTTACACCCTTTTTACACAATACTACACCCATATCGCACATGGACACAGCCTGTCAAATGACTATCCCCAAGGATGCAGAAAACATTTAAGGGTTAAAATAAATATATATATATATATATATATATATATATATATATATATATATATATATATATATATATATATATATATATATATATATATGGGGCCCTCATAAACAAAACATACAAGGTGGTGCTGAGTATTTGCCCCTCTGCACAAATTGGAAAAACTGAAATTAATCGTTTTATGTTGAAAATATTTACAGGGAAAGTGTTTAAAGTCTCTTATTTCCATGGCGGGTATTTTTATGGACGGTATACACAATATGTACATTTGTTTTTATCAAATTTGACTTCATGGTGCAACAACAAATTGTGTAAAAAGATCAGAATTTGAAAAATGAATATATTAGATATGGATTTGAAATGAATAGACTGCTCCTTCGTGTATTTAGGCCTTTTTAAAGATTAAAAATGAAGAGAGGGCTTGTCACATACATGTAGTGGAAACAATTCAACCATATTGGACTTTCACAAAACATTGAAAACATTATCTGATATTAGGAATAATCCTCATTTAGCTTATTTTACAGCATTGCTCAATCACATTTAAATAGTTGAGTTCTTCTAAAGATGAGCACTAACTCGATTCATGTGAACCAGGCCCTGTGCATGTGAACAGCAGATGTCAGTAATGGCTCAAAGCGGACCAATAGGATCTGACCTCTCAGAGATACATGCTGTAAGCATTTATCAGAGATTGTAGGAGATTACACTAAATCAGATTACTGCACCCCAACCTGCCTATAAAAAGCAAGGTCATTATGGGCTTAGCCTCGTGTAATGTCACCCGTTTTATGAACTGTATGAGATCATATTAGGCAATATTTGCGTTGCCATTTTGCCTCTTTTTCTAATCTGATTTCTACTCTGAGCTCTCGCTAATACGGTGAGATAGTGCTACTTACTGTGTATCTGTCTGCATGTGAGCGCAAAGCATAGAGTAAGCCAAAGCGACCTTATAATGTATTGGAGGAGAAAAAGTTGACTTTCTATGACCATTTTAAATAGGTCTGCAGCAAGCCATTATTTTCAATATAAATAAATTGTATGAATATTTTTTTAATACATTTTCTTGTCAATAAAATGTCAGAAAAAAGGGGAAATGTCAAGCCAGTTTCTCTAGTCCATTTAAATGTCTTGTTTTGTCAGTCAAAACCAAGATACAATCATTTTAATTACATAAAATAAAGAAATCTCCACATTTGAGAGGCTTTAAGCTGCATTTTCAACAATCTTTCCATTACATTTATTTTTTAAATGATTGGATTACCAAAATAGTAGCTGATTCATTTTCTGTTGATCGATTAATCAATTATTCAACTCGTATCTGTAGCCCTAATGTACATTTTTATTTTTTATTTTAAACAGTTGCTATATTAAAACATAAAAAGCTACCATGTTCATCATCATCATATAAGAAGTTGAGTTAGTTATAAAATTAAGGAATGTTCCTTACAGAAGAATATAAGCAATTGTTATTCAAATTATTGGTGATCATTAACATCACTGTTTGACAATAAAAATTAACATTGATATTGAAAGTGCATCGAGGTGTGGACCATTCTTTTTCCGCCCTGCTGATCACAAGGCTGAATACAGACAATAATCTTCCTCCCCCAGGTGGTCCGGAGCTCCGCTGAAGAAGCTTCACAACACATGTATGCAGCAGACAGGCAGGGGTGTATCCAGGGGCAACTAAATCTCAGCAGCATTAACCTGGGCCGATGAGTCCCGGTGGAAACTCACACCCAGAACATGAGCACACGCACAGGGCGGTGTTTTCAACTCAGCCTGAGTCTGTCTACCACTGGTTGTTCTTTATAAAGTCAATGCTGTAACATTTTCACATTAACGTTTCTAAAAAACTAGAACTATAGTTGTGTCCTTATATGATCCTTAATATTTTCAACACTTTTCAAACTTATAGATAATTTCATCAAATTACCGCTCAGTAACTTTTGGTAACCTGTAATGGCATCATAACCCTTTTACACGTGTTGTGGTTGTCTGCCAGAAGCTGTAATACATTGACATTTTATCCAGTTTTAATCCATATTTTCATGATAAACTTTTCTTAGATGTTGTTTGTTTTGAACTATTTATTTTAACTGGAAAAAGGATTTAAATCATCGGACGTCTTTTCCGAAAAACTAGTTTAGCGAATGTTAGCGACACCTGAACTGCATTGGATAAAAACTGAATTTCAATGTGAAACTTCTTTTAATTTCCTGGTTTTAATAACTGGGTGAGCCTGTTTGTCGAATATTCTGCTCCAGTGATAACCTCCTTAATGATGAAGTATTCCTTACAGGGTAAACTGACTGCAATGATGGTGACGACAACAACAACCTGTATCTACAATTTGATGGGAACAATTAAAAACAGCCAATATTTATTCCAACTATCAAATCGACAAATTCAAGATTCCAGTCTTTAATAAGGTTAAAATTAAGAACTCTTGCCCATCAGGACTGACTGGTGCACCACTATTGTGCACCAGTCAGTCCTTAAAATGAATACAGAGTGTAATTCCTGTCCCAATGTACAATAAAGGGTCTTGTATTGTCTTTAGTCATTGTAATGTTGTGTTAGATGTCTGTTTCCTTGTTTCTTGTCTTAAATATTGTACCTTGTTGATGTAGCAAATGGAGTCACTGTTTTGCAAGAACATTTTTAGACTTGATCTGACAGTAAAGTAATATTGTATTGTGACACCCCACGCTACTTCACGGCGCCACCTAACTCCATCTTTTGTTTTGTTTTGATTTAGAGACTCCTACTGGCAGAAAATCACATATTTAGCGTTTCAGTTACAGACAATTAACATCATTTTTTAGAAGTATACATTATACTATCTTATATTCTGACAGTTAATATGTGAAAGGTATGTCTTTGGTACATTAACATGGGATACAGACCATCCCAAAGAAGAGAACTGTTGGAAAGCAATTTGTGTCATCCTACAATTTTGAGGTTTACAGAATTCGCCATGAACCCCTAGCAATTGTTCGTGACGCAGGATTTTATAGAGTGCATATATCCATTATTTTATCTGCAAAATGTGGATGTCAAGAGACAAAAGCGAAACAGATCAGGCACAAACAGTACACATTTACTTTAATGCTGGGCTACTGTAGACAGAACATTGTCTCTCAGGAGCGTTCTTCATCCCAACCATAGCTGATGATGCTTTTGTTTTCCCCCATCGGACCAAGCCCATACACACTTTGTTGTCCCGGTGGACCCTAAAGTGTTCCACGTCTCCAAGTAACGACTTAACCCACTGAGCATTAACCCCTCCTCAGAGCACTCTACCTAGACTACTGGTGATAATAATGATCAAGTCATCTCTGTGCTGCAGTGATGGCCCACCCATAAACACTAAGCGCTGGAGGAAAATCCCCACTGATTTCTTAGCATAGAGCACAGGGACATCAGTTCATACACCATAAAGTATGGCAAATTTCTTGTCAACAAAAACTTCCATTGCCAGCCCATTTTGACCAAAAGGACTGGTGAGTGTAAAGGTTTGTAAAGGATGTATCATCAGTCTACCAGTGTAGAGGAAATTATGTGGATTATCTTTGAAATATCTTTCATAAATTAGCAATTATTTCTTGATATAATAAATAATAAATAGTAGACTCTGAACTCTCGTTAATAGTGAATATACTTGTAGTGTAGATGTGTTTTGCATTTAGCC